TATATATATATAGTTTATTTTAAATTAATTCTGTAAATTACATCTGTATATGTTCCTGTCGTTTAACCTTATTGGGAGCATCTGATAACATAGCTTGCGCAAGTGAATCTGCGCGAATCCATATTCTATTACTGAATGCTCATATTGATTATACTGTGATGGCCAAATTTTTATTATAGAATTTTTATTCCGCATGATATATCCTTCTGTGCCTCTCTATTTTCTTATACATTATCTACTATATACTTTACATTCTCTTTCTTTTAGTTACTTTCAATAATAAAAACATACTCTTTCTCAACTATATACCACCTCACCATTAATTCAGTCTCCTCTACCTTATCCTTATGCCTTTTACTTAACTCGCACTTTGTATTTTCTTTCTGCCTATTCATTCCATTTATTTCACTCTATACACCCTTAACAACACTTGTTCCTTAAATGTTACACTCCGAAAAGAGAAATCCAATAACTTTTTTATATTATTATAATTATATAATTTTTATCTTTTTAAATCTGATTCAAGATTTGTAATTAATGAATAAAAAATTAGAAAAATAATTTCTCTCATAACTTGAAATTGAAAGTTGTAATTTATCCACTATGTTGAATTTTATGTCATCGATTTTATTCTTTATAAAAATTATTTTATTATAAAAGTTTTCATTATTTTATTTTTTTGAAGTAACTCGTTTTTTTGAAAAAAAATATTTATTTTTAATTTTCACACATTCAAAATTTAGTTAAAAGAAAAGCATATAAAAAATTCTTAATATTTTATAAAATGGTGTGCTTAATATTTGTAAAAGTTTTCCTAATTTAATCTGTTTATGTGTTATCTAATTATTTTAATAATTGTGTTTTTTTTATTTTAATTTATTCACATTTAAAATATATTAATCATTTGATTAAAATATCACTGTAAAAAAAAAGTTTTGATTCTCAAAACTGTAAATACAAATTATATAATTTATAGTTAAATGTTAAGAAAGCATTAAAAGATTAAGAGAAACAAGTAGATATATGTTATATAAAGTATATAATTATTTTAATAAATAAATCAATGTACTTTTAATTTTAAATATATTAAAATATATTGTTACGTCTAGAGAATTGAGAGAGTTAGAAATTAGAATTAAAGATATGAAGGGAGTACGAATGGGCTCGGAAGGACGGAACAGCTGCTTTCTTGAAGGCCAAGCGTGGAAACATGATTCTTCGAGTCCGAGCGCACTGGTAACTACGTCGGCACTACGTCAGCGACACTACATCAGCGATACGATAACGCTATGATGCTCCATAGACATATGCTGGTCGGTCATTTTCTGATCAAGAAATTTAATTCTTCTTATCAGGGACAGACCTCGTGCGATTAATGGGATGGGGGTTGGTAAATGAGGGTGTTAAAAGAAAATGAAGAAAAAATGAAATTTAAATTAATTTTTAATGAGCTTATTAATGTACATTATTAACGAAGCGAGAGAAAGTAGTGTGTAGCGAGTAATATCATATATATTATCGCGAGTGTTTACAATAGTGCGGCGGCCATCGGATAAGATTTCTACGGGGGACAGTATAGCTGTTAAAATTTATTTAATTGATCGATGATTCTGCTCAGTCATACAATGTTTATGTGACGAATAATTTTAAGTCAACAAAAATAATATTTCGGCATGATTTAAATGCTAAGCTTAATATTAACTATATAAGTGTGAATGATAGTATTTTGGGAAGTTAAGGAGGGGAGTAACCTTAGATTTGTTCAGGAGGGGTTGTCAGATCGAATAAATAGGGGAATTCTTGTTCTAGGTTGAGGAACAAGAGTTCTCCGTCATCAGAAAATAAAGTGTAAAGGAGAGTGATTCGGTTTAATTGCATAAAATGAATGTTCCAACGGGTCGGTAGAAAACGCAGAGAAAAATTGAGAAAACAAGTCAGAAAGTGCGGAGATGATTGAGGTTGATTGAAATGGTTCGGGAGAAAATTTGGGAATCAATGATGAAGATTGGTTGAGAGAGAGGTCAGGAGGAGGGGGGCAAATCTGAGGACAATTGTAAGGGAGGATTAAGCAGAAATTCTAGAGTGAAGATAGATATAGTTGATTGTGATGATTCGTATGATTTTTTAATGAATTGTTTCGATTTTTTATTCTTGTCCTTGAGGACCCGTCCCACCGCTATACAGACGGCGGACACGTCTCAAAGTACTATTGTCGAGATTTAGAAGGTGTCACTTCTGATTGATTAACTACGAGTGAAGAGGATAAAATAAATGATGAGAGGTGTGATGCGTGAGAGGAGAAAGAAAATAAGAGAGAAAAA